TAAAAACTCAAAAAATTCCGAAAAATATGTTATTGAATATCAAAAGTGACATTCTTTACATTTTTATAGCAATGACGTATAGTCGCAATTATTATCCCCGATTTCTTTCCAATTTACAGGCAAGGTGTGCTGTAGTTCAAAAAATCAAAAAATAATTTTGAGCGTGTTATTTTGTGTACAAAAATAATTACTCTTTGAATTTCCTTAAAAAGAAAATACATTGGACCATTTCAAAAATGTTTATATACAACAAAATATAATATCAATTAAAGTAATTAAAATTTATTCAACTATAATTATGTAAAATATATTCCACTATTAAATAATTATCAAATGCTCAGGCAACATTTCAGACTCTACTCTTGCAGCAGCAAGAAACTTTGGTCTTGTTCATTTCAGCTAAACTTGATTATTCAAACTCATAACCAAGTCACACCTGTTTATTCTCTGCCTACAAGTGGAAACAGACGTTAAAGAATTTATACACAGATAATTCAACCTGGTTGAACAACATAATTTTAATATTCTCTACCGGGAAACGGAAAGGAACAGTAAAAAAATTCACACACAGCATTCATTGAACGTCTTTGAGCAATGTTTTCATATCTACTTTGATTTTCAGCACTTGTAAACACTTGAATACGGCAGCCAACGCGTTTCAAAACTGATTATGCGAGCGGCTTCGGACAGAAGCCGTTGCCGAGGGCAGAAGTCAGCCCAGGTATATTCTAATCTACATGTAAATCGAGAAAAAATGTTAAAGTTCACGCGTCGTAAGCACATTGCGGTCCAAAGAACAGTATTTCAACCGCGGTCCTGCCATGTTCCTGTTTCGTTATAGTCGTTTTCACTATATAGGAAGATTGTAAACTCGGTCGTATTAAAATAAACATTTTAAATGACAGAACAATCGAATTCACACAAACATAATCTTTTTAAAATTTGAAATTATTATTGGCGCCTTTGATGTTGTTTTAATCGCTGCAATCTATAATCGGTACCAATTCCAAGCAGTCTAAATTCTACCTTAACTCTTACCTACCAAAGTGAAAAGAATTATCACTGCAGTATTCGTCCATGAGATCAATACGCGCTTCAAAATATAAATCATTGTTTCAAAAGAATGTAGAAAGGTTTATTTATGATTTTTCTTAACGTATCTTTCTTAGCAATTAGAGTAGACAAACGAGCCAACAATATCTATTCTAAACAAACTTATTTATTAACTTTGAAGTTACATTGTTGATTTTTGGGGCCGACATCGGTAGTTAAGGGTTGAAAGCTTAACTTTCGCTGTATTGTGGTGACAATTATATATCACTGAGAAAATTCGATCAGGAACACAGGTTCTGTACTTTTACTCTTGTCTTCTGATCAGCGAAACGTAGCTGTTTTCCGGTGTTCAAGGCCCATTGGCCACGGTTCTGGGGCGCACGCTCGGATGCCTTGAAATTATTTTATGAAACGTCGCTGCACGAAACGTCCGTTTTGTATCGACGGAGTGGACTCTAACGGGCTGTTTCCCGTCGCTTTTTTCTCGTCGCATTGTTTTACATCCGCAGCTGTGAGCGGACACGTGTTACGCTATTTCAACGGACCCGCGCTACGGTGCATGCTTTACGATCAATAAAGTATCGCGTCGCGGGACAAAACGACTGTTACTCCGTTTATTTTGAAAGTACATGATAGCGTGATCTTTTTACTCTTTTAAATTCATAACGTTCGGTAATTTTTAGTAATATTCGCGTTACCTACAAAACAAGAGAATACGGGGTAAATGTAGAGAAAACATTGATAGGACTTTTAATACTATAATTACACTGCGAATTTTTGTGCATTTATAGGAAATCTGAATGTGTAAAATTGCATGCGGTACATACAATGCAAGGAAATATATAAAATATTTAAACTATCATGTTTTTCTTATAACATTTGTTAGGAAAAATAATTTTCTATCGCAATTCACGTTTTTTAAATGTATTCTTAAAAGTGTTTAAATTAAACCATTTTGTGATCTACTCATTGGCCGAATCGGTTAACTAAGAAACAAACAGTAGAGAAAAGTGGCGTAATAGTATAGATTTTTAAAATTTTTCTTGAAATGGAAAATCAAAGAAATATTATATACATTATAGAATGTATTAATATAGACTGAAATCTAACGAGCACGTAAAATGCATGGAATAGTACATCCTTGAAACTTATTATATTTAATAAGTTGCAGAAATAATAATTATTATTGAAAATTGTTGCATGATACAAGAAAGACAATTTTAAATATAAAAAATTCAGTATGAATGAAGCTTCAACGATAAAATTTAAAAAAATTCAAAACGTGGAATTAACCGATTTGGTCGACGAGTCGCTCATATCTCACAATACGGTGAGTATTATAAGTAGAAATGAAAATAAAATTTGTTACATTTACGTACAGTACAGCCATTCGACTGTTCAGAATTAAATTTCGGATTAACATGTTGGTTGCTCTCATGTGTCGATCGATGCTAGAGTTACAAGCGGATAATGCCAGAAATATTATGTTAATGAAGGTTTAGAGAAATTTCGTTCTATTGGTGGCTTAACGAAATCCTGAATCCTAGAAGGAAGTTTCCGTTTTGGTAAGCACCGTTCCCGTGATATCTCGACGGGCTAATGGAAGTTGGCTTAGCAATGAACTTTCGCGAGATGGTGCCAGCTTATCTCGAATGAGATTTAATAGCCATTTTAAAAGCGTATCTTTTAAACGAAAGAAACAAAGTATTCCTGTGTCGAGTGTTTACTTTTCGACGAAAAACGTTTCCTTTCTAGACACTTAATTACCAACATATTGTTTGTATAACTTTCTCTGAGACCAACAGTTTTCTCAAAAGTGAAAGTAATTTCAAAATAAGTTCGAAAATAAAAAATATATGTAGGCAGTAAAAAATTGATAAGTTTCTCGAATTCATAAGTAATTATTAGCAGTAATATTTAAAAAAAACTCAATCTGGTAATTTTCCTCTAATATTTTTAATTATTTCATAATTACCTATGGAACGAAAATAGGAGTAAAACATTTCTGTAAAGTAGTCCTTGAATTAATTAAAATTTTCGTTATAGGGTGTCCGTTATCGTGAAATTATCTACTATTTGTTATTTGAAAAGTGTTTCAAACGCAAATTTTTCTATTTCGCGAGGGCGGTAATTTGGTGCACTTAATTTGTCTCTGGTTGAACGTGTGTAGGAGATATAAAGATCAGTACTATTTTCCAAAATATTACCATCTAATTTCCTTTGCGTTAGCAAATGCAATTGCATTTCCTATGCAGCAGGTCATTCTCTACAAACAGGTGTCAACCTACCTGCGTCGAAAGCTCATCAAAATAGAAAAAAACTACGTTTAAGGAATTTTTTAAATAACAAATAATCCTGGAAATAGTTGCATTTATAGATTAAAATAGTATACTCTGTATATGTATATTCCACTGGAGTATTTAAATTGCGATAGATAAACGAAATCGCATTACCCCGCATAATACTGTAATGGTCAAGTTTTTTCTAGCGAAACAGGTTTCCATCTTGTCGTTACTATGTATTTTTGCGTTTATTTTGGTTTTCCGCGGAAGACAATGCATGTAGAAAACTGTATGTATAAATTCTTTCTCATTTAAATGACACTGCTACGTTATTTTGCGTTTCTACTGCTAAACATCGTGGTAGACGAAGTTTTATTTTACGTCCTGGAATTTCAACTGCGTCTATTTTACTCGGAATGAACGTTAATACAACTCTTATAGACGTAACTAGTTTGGGTAAAAATATATACCGGAAAAATTTGTTTTTCCGCGAATTCTCTTTGGAATATGTGTACCAGTCGTGAACACTGCGGTGGTTTGGGACGCAAAACAATTCTGCCGAGTATGTGGTTATACAAATTGCGTTAACCTTATTTTTATACGGCAAACGTGTGTTTTTCAGAAGAAATGGACAAAGGAGCGGCCTTGTGAATTATTATGCGTACTATTGGATCAAACAGAAATTGTTGACAACAGGATTCTTACGAGTTTGTGAAAGATTTGTCGAAAAAAAAACATTCGACGGTTAAAAAATATTAGAAGAGTTTTGTAAGAGAAATTAAAATAAACCTCAATTTAGCATTCACAATAAATTAATGAGCAATAGATACATAAAATATTAAAAAGAAAAACAAAATCGCACAAAACCAATTCAACCGATGTCATTAATTTTGCAAAGTAAGTCTTGCAATAAATAACCCACGCATTTAATCTCTATTCGTTTAAATCTCAAAATAATTTTCAATCAGTGTCAGTATCAATAATCCAAACTAAATCTTCAAATAGCCGACGAGTTTAATCTCCATTTCTTAAAGTATCTCTGAAACCGCCCATAATCAATATCCCTATCGTTAATAATCCAAACTAAATTTTCAAATAGCCTCCGAGTTTAACGCAGATGTCCTTACATATCACTAATAATATAATTCAATCAATACCAGTACCATTAATAATCCAAACTAAATCTTCAAATAACCTAAGAGTTTAACCCACATTTCTTAAAATATCACTAACACAATTCAATCAATACCAGTACCATTAACAATTCAAGCAACCCACCTAAAAATCTTCAAATAACCTACCAGTTTAACCCGAATTCCCTTAAACATCACCTACGTAAGTATTTGTAAGCGCGATGGTAAGGTTAAGCGACCGGGATCACTCGAGGAAACGTGTATATTACACCGGTCAAGGATGTACTGTGTCTCAACAAGGTCGGGTAATCATTGAATCGGCGAATCAATTTGTCCAGTCTGAATCTATATCTGTTTCTAAAGACATTCCGTGCGTCCTTCTACTCCAGCAAACCGATCAGGGGAGCAGAAATAAACTCGTCACGTCTCGCCGACCGAATTCCGTGGATCCTCATGCAGCGTCGAATCGGGCAAACATTTGATACGGCGTTATTTGATCGCCGGGAGGTTTCCGGGCACACGGAAATCTTACCTGTATAACTCTCGATTTGTTGAGGATCGTATTCCCGGACGGCTGGTAGCGCTCCATATCCCTCAGTATACCGCGCACGCCGACGTCCTCCGCGTCGACCAGACGGAAGGCAGTGATATTGACGAAATTGTACTTGAAGTCCTCGAGGTCGAAGGTTTCGATATCCTGGAAAAGGAACAGACGGGTCTTCTCGTTTTCGAGTTCGCCGCACCTTCGGCTGTCTCTTGACGTCCAGCGGAAGAGTACTTACGAAAGTCGTGAAGAGATAGTGGTACTTGTAGTCGTTCATTTGCAGCTGCAGGATCTGAAAGTAAGTGCGCGTAGAGATTTATCACGGACAGCTTGGTATCTGATTTCTGAATATTTATATAGTACTCTCTGGTATTTCGGTCTGTTCGCTGGCTATCGAATTTCTTATGGGGATAAGAAATGGTGGTCTTGTACCTTGTACTAGTAAGGACGTTTGAGATTTAGAGCATTTAAGCTTTATGGATAAAATAGATTCGGGGAAGTTGTTACATCTTTAATTTATAGTTTCTTGCGAAAGTAAGAGAAGTGCATCGTTTGAAATTATACGAGACTTTTATTGCATATTACATTTTATACTGCCAGTGATTCGATCATTTTTTAAGGACTCGCAATAAAGAATACTATAGAAGAATTCTTAATGTCAAAATCGCAAAACAAGAGGTCGTATCGAATAAGGTACATGGTAATTTCCTTTCAAATTATTGTTCAAAAGAGAAAAACTAAACCTCTTTTCAATAGATCACAAATATTGAGAAGTCTTTTTAACAACAAACGTACTGGTACTTTATATACACCTATTTCTATCGTAATCAGTCAAAAATTAGTTACAAAATAAAGGTGAACAAATTGAACGATACATTTTTCTCAGTGAAGACAGAAATTGAAAAACTTATTAATCCAACAATATAAAACTTGACATAAAGTAAAATAGACGAAAGAAAATGCAGAATTTTTAATCAAATTTCAAACTGGTTACTTGGTCGGTCGTAGTACGTTTCGCGTTAAATATCCGACAAGTATAGATAATTTTCAAACAGAATACAATAAAGATTCATGAATTCTACATAGGTTTGATTCACACCGACTGGCAACTGTTTCAAAAGCTACCTTCCGCAGTTACTGTAAACGGTTACAGAACGATGTAAAATTGTGCAGTTCGTATTATTCAGAAGTTAGCGGAATAATGATAACCGGTAATCTGCTGCTCTTACGAGAGTGAATGCGCGCAGGGAGCGGGTAATATCTTAGATTCGTATTTACATCGGGGACGCGACAGGTTTATCGCGAACCGCGGAAAGCGGGGAATCGATAGAGGAATATGCAATTACCATTCGTAGAAAATGATGCATGTGCTCCGGTCTAGTATCCACGATGAGATTCCGTATTTCCTTGCTTTTCATCTCGGAGAGAACCTGCCGGTAGGAATCCGGGTCGGCCTGCCTAAGGTTAACCTCGATCTCCCGAGACTTCGGCGACCTGACGAGCTCTCGTAGCTTCACCAATCCTGAAACGGGCGTCGTGGCACAATTAAGCCGTCGCGTCGATTAAAGTGGAACTAATCATCCGAACGGTTGCGCCGCGCCAGCCAATTCGACGCTGAACGCCTCGAATTGGTTATTTATTTTTCCTCTTGGTTCGATATTTAATCATGTAAGTATCTCTTCGTTTCATAATATACGATAATGTATTTCAAATCAATTTAAAATTCTGCGGTTTACGTTTATTCAGGGGTAATTAAATGTTCTGCGATGGTGAATATTGAATTTTTGTAGTTAATAAATCGGGAAGCTATTAATTATGAGGCAACTTCTGCGAGTC